TTGCAGTCTCTCTCTCTTTCTCTGTCTCTCTCTCTCTCTCTCTCTCAAAAGTAATTAATTAATTTTAAAAAATACAGGGGCTCCTGGGTGGCTCAGTCGGCTAAGCGTCTGACTTCCACTCAAGTCATGATCTCGTGGTTCGTGAGTTCGAGCCCCGCGTCGGGCTCTGGGCTGACGGCTCAGAGCCTGGAGCCTGCTTCGGATTCTGGGTCTTCCTCTCTCTCTGCCCCTCCCCTGCTTACGCTCTGTCTCTCAAAAATAAATAAGCATTAAAAAAATGTTTTTAATAAAAATAAAAGAGATACAGCCAAAAGGGCTGGAGGATGTGAACAATGCCGTCAGATATCCGAAGGGCCATTTTGCAGAAAAGGAGCTCCCACTGGTCCACGTGAGCCCAGCGGGTTAAGACACTGAGGGCTGTGACCTCCGAGAGATTTGGCTTCTGTAACATTCATCTAACAGCCTTATATTTTAAGCAGCTTCATAACTGAGTAACCCAACACCCACGGCGCTCTGGCCACAAACCGGGACTTAACTACAACAGACAGGCTCTCGGGTGCACACCTGGACACCCAGAAAGCCAGGGAACTCCCCCAGGGGCAAGAAACAAGACCGAAAGCCCAAAGCAGGTGTGTGAGGCTGTGAGCTGCCGGAGGGTGTGGGGGCAGGGGGCGGATCTCACTGAACGTGGGACTTGACTTTCATAGCCAAGCCAGAGGAGGAGGCAGCGAGGCCCTGAACCGCTTGCGAAAGCCTCGGGTCAGCGGGACCGTTCACACCCCCTTAACGCCTGGGTCACATCACACACAGACACCTAAAGGGGCCTGAGGCCGCCCCCCAGTGACCAAGGCCACTTGAAGCCTTTCCCTGGGTATCTGTAGGCCCTGCTATTCCCAGGGCCTCCTAGAAAGAAGCCAGAGGGGGCGGCGGGGATGGGGGGCGGGGGGGGGGACCCTTTCTAAAGCCAGCCCGAGGCTCCAGCAAGATTGGTAACCAGAGACCCCAGTGCTCCTTCCTCGCGTGTTGAATTCCAGGCACCTGCAACAGGCACTGTGAACAGCTGCGTGCTTCCGTGTTCTGAAATGCCACCTTCTCCCCGAAGCCCTCACAGATCCCCCTACTTGAAACTGCACGGCCCCCCAGCACTCCCCAGACCCCTTCTCTGCGTATTTTCCTCCATAGCATTTAGCCATATATCTGTATTTGCCATATGGCGTGTGGGTAAGTTACTGCCTGCACCAACTAGAGTGTGGGCTCCATGAAGGCAGGGATTTTTTTCTGAGTGGGGGGAGGGGCAGAGAAAGAAGGAGAGAGAAAATCCCAAGCAGGCACTATGCTATCCGGCAGAGTCCGACACGCGGCTTGATCTCACGAACTGGGAGGTGAGGACCTAGGCCAGAATCAAGGGTCCGACGCTCAGCCGACTGAGCCACCCAGGCCCGAAGGCAGGGACTTTTGTCCCTTTGGCTCACTGATATGTTTCTACTGCCTAGAACGGTGTCTGGCCCGCAGTAGGTGCCTAATAAACGAGGGGCGCCTCGGTGGCTCAGTCAGTTAAACAACTCTCACTCTCTCTCAAAATAAACAAACATTTAAAAAAATATTTGCTCTGGGGCGCCTGGGTGGCTCAGTCGGTTAAGCGTCGGACTTCAGCTCAGGTCACGATCTTGCGGCTGTTGAGTTCGAGCCCCGCGTCGGGGCTCTGGGCTCACAGCTCGGAGCCTGGAGCCTGCTTCGGATTCGGGGTCTCCCTCTCTCTCTGCTCCTCCCCCGCTCATGCTGTCTCTGTGTCTCAAAAATTAATAAACATTAAAAAAGAATTTTTTTTAATATTTGCTGAATAAGTCCATGAAAAATGACAACAGGGGTAGCAGTTTTCCATGCCTGATTTCTACTCTTCACAATAGCTCTAGGAGGTAGGAATAGAAATTGTACCCATTCTCCAGGTGAGGAAACTGAGGCTCAAGGAGATAAGACTTAAGAGCCCAAGCTCTTGAGCAAACCCTTTCTGGTCTTGGACCCGGCTACTTTGGGATGACTCACTCATTATGTGTCATTAGACCCACCCCAAAATGACCCCTGCAGCTGGGTGCCTGGCTCCCTTTGTTTCCTGCTGCCTCCCCCAGGACACCAAAAGCACCGGCAACTCGTCTATTTTGCCTAAAGGCGGAAATAGGCACATGGAAATCCATCAAACTTCTGTGCATCCGAGGAAACAAGGCTGAAAAGACAACCTTGAGGTGCCTGGGTGGCTCAGTCCGTTAAGCAACTGACTCTTGATTTCGGCTCGGGTCACGATCTCACACGTAATTCATGAGATCGAGCCCCACATCGGGCTCTGCGCCGACCACGCAGAGCCTGCTTGGGATTTTCTCTCTCCTTCTCTTGCTGCCCCTTGCCCCCCCTCAAAATAAATAAATAAACATGTTTTTTTTTTATTTTTTTTTTAACGTTTATTTATTTTTGAGACAGAGAGAGACAGAGCATGAACGGGGGAGGGTCAGAGAGAGAGGGAGACACAGAATCTGAAACAGGCTCCAGGCTCTGAGCTGTCAGCACAGAGCCCGATGCGGGGCTCGAACTCACAGGCTGCGAGATCACGACCTGAGCCGAAGTCAGACGCTTAACCGACTGAGCCACCCAGGCGCCCCTAAACATGTTTTTTTAAAAAGGCAACCAAGAGGCTCCCGGGTGGCTCAGTCGGTTAGGCGTCTGACTTCAGCTCAGGTCGTGATCTCACGGTTCGTGAGCACGAGCCCCGCGTCCAGCTCTGTGCTGACAGTTAGGAGCCTGGAGCCTGCTTCGGGTTCTGTGTCTCCCTCTCTCTCTCTCTACCCCTCCCCCCACTCACACTCTGTCTCTCTCAAGATAAATATTAAAAAAAAAATTTTTTTTAAACCCCAAATGTCTTTGCGAGCCTGCAAACAAACTTGAGCACTACTGAACACCTTGTTATCACTCAGCAGAAGGGTGTGCATTTGGGGGGACTACGTATATCGAGCTTCATTGTTTAAACATCTTCCAAGATGTCGCCTGATGAACCGGGTTGAAGATGAAAAGTAACCGTGTACGCAGAAATACTCGCAAAGAGTAGCAGGGGGTCAATTTGATACTAATGACGCGGATGGTTGTCGGAGGAACAACGCGGTGCTTGTCGTTCTTGCAAAGCAACAACCAGGAGAGATGAACTCCCTCAGTTAGACGAAGCTGCGTTAAGTGTTACTGAGGCGCATGGAGAGCGTTCTCAAACTTGACCACGTATCAGAACGACCTGGGGGGCTTGTTAGAACACAGGCTGCTGGGTTTCTGAGTCCGTGGGCCGGGGCGGGACCCGAGGATCGGCCTTGGTAGCAAGCTCCGCCGTGGGTCCAGGGCTGCTGGCCGAGGACCACGCTTTGAGAACTGAGCAGAGCGCTGGAAGCAAAATCCCACAGCGTAAATGAAACGTTGCAACAAGAGGCAAGTGTGGTTGGTACCTGCATCCAAGGGACTCGGCGTGCAGACAGGATATCGGTTTGTCAGAATGTTTTGGTCAACTTTAAACAAAAGCCACTCAACTTCCAGGGCACCTGGGTGGCTCCGTCAGTGGAGCCTCCGACTTCAGCTCAGGTCACAATCTCGCAGTCCGTGGGTTCGAGCCCCACGTCGGGCTCTGTGCCGACAACTCGGAGCCTGGAGCCTGCTTGGGATTCTGTGTGTGTGTGTGTGTGTGTGTGTGTGTGTGTGTGTGTGTGTGTCTCTCTCTCTCTCTCTGCCCCTCTTCTGCTCATGCTCTGTCTCTCTCTGTCTCTCAAAAATAAATAGTAAAAATTTTTTAAAAAGCCACTCAACTCCCCCCTGCATATTGCAGTGGAAACCGTGAAACCATTTACTTGCATAGCAAGTGCTGCTGGAACCCAGGCGTTCTTGGGCTTCATGCTGTCATTACCAAAGGTCCTTAAGAGGTGGAGATAAGAAGCCTGGGTTTCCTCAACATGTCCAAAGAAATCGAAATTAATTCATTCGACAAGTTCGCAGTTTCGCCATCGTTAGGACCTCTCAGCCTGAAAAATACACCCAACGAACAGACCTGCCACTGGTCGTATCGACTCTTCCTGTGAAACCAAGTCTCCATGTAACAAATTATGTGTCATAAAGGAAGAAAATATTTCCAAACCCAAAACCATAACTGTAGTTAATGAAGTAGTCACAAAAGTTTTTATAAGCAGGAAAAGAAATTTGAGACTGCCTGTTTTATTCTTTATAATAATAAAAACCAAGATCAAGATGATAAAGATGTTTGGTTTCTTTTTTTCCCCTGAAAACTTCAGTAAGAATACAAGGAGTTTTTGATTTTTGTTTTGTTTTTTGGGTTTTTTTTTGTTTTTGTTTTTTTTTTTTTGGTTTTTGTTTTTTGTTTTTGTCTGTCTGTTTGTTTGTTTTTGGAATACTTGTGTTTTTAGAGAGTATTTGTAGTTTGGGCCAGAATTCCTTTGATCAGTTCCTCTCCAGTTGCTTGTTAGGATTTTGTGATGAAACTTATAAAGGTACCAAGTGCATTTGGCCAGAGATAATAGAAAGCTTGCCTGGTATAAATGATAGGCACATTTCTTGTTTATTTAATAAGTCTAGATTTGGATAGTCTCAGAGTTCTGGCTCAACATCAGATTTCCTTGCTCTTTCCTCATGGTCATAGAATGGCTGCCACAGATCCAGGCATCACATCCTTACTCCCGCACACCCCAAGACAGAAAATGGGACAACCAGGCCAGTAAGAATGATCTTTCCTCGACTGCCTCTTTTTTTATTTTTAAATCAGGAAGAAAATCTCTTCCAGAAGCCCCTCAACGGATCTTCTCTAGTGTCTCACTGGCTAGACAAGGGTCACAGGATGAGTCCTAAACAGCAAAGGAAACCGGGAAAGCAATTCAACCCGTTCATTCTCTGTGGAGGAGGGTAGGCAAAGGGAGGAGCTGTCGGGTATTCATATGACGAGAGCTAACAACCATCCTATCTTTTAGTTTCAGCTCCAGAATTTGTGTTTGAACATGGCTATCAAACTTATCTGCCCACGGAAAGCAATGAAAACCAGACAGCCACTGTCATCTCTCTCCCTGCCAAGTCACGTGCCAAAAAGCCCACGGCCCCACCTGCTCAGAAAAGGCTTAACTGTTGCTATCCAGGTAAAGGCAGCCTTGGGTCCCGCTTGTGTAAAGGATGTGACGTTCACCGATTCCAGGGCCCTCGGTGGTGAATCCCTGACAAGTGGACATAAGCTCCAAAGACGTGCTCCAAAGCGCTGGGCTTAAAAATCAGAGCCCCATAGTATTTACACCATCACATATGACCTCTCTCGCGCTGTCCCTGGTTACTGTGCATGTGGACTCTAAACCTTTACAGCCATAGGCTTTGAAATGAAACTCGTGAGTATCCAGGGGACTGTGAATTTTTCTCCCTGTGCTGTAGCTTACAAAGACATCCAGAAAGATTGTTGTTTCCTTTAAAAATAAAGCGAAACTTTGTATTTGGGAATAATTTCAGACTTACAGAAAAGTTGCACAAATCGTACAAAAAAATGTACGTATGCCCTTCATCTGGATTTCCCAAATGTTAACATATTGTCTTTGCTCTGTCGTTCTTTCTGTATATAAATATTTTCCCCCAAAACCATTTTAGACTAAGTTACAGACATGATGTCCCTTTACCCCTAAATACCACAATTTATGTTTCCTAGAACCAAGGAAATTCTTTTATATAACCACAGTACAATCATCAAAATCAGGAAATTAACATTCATACACACTATTATCAAACTACTGACCTTATTAAGATCTTACCAGTTTCTCAGTAACTTGAGAAATTAGGAGAAGAAAAACATTTTCCCCTGGTTTAGAATCCAGTTCATGATCCCCCATTGATTTGCGTCTTCATCCGTCTTTAGTTTCCTTTAATCCTAAAGTTTTGTCTTCCATGGCCTTGATATTTTGCCAAGTACAGTTATTTTGTAAAATGCTCCTCCGTGTGGCTTTGCCTGATATTTCTTCGCAATCAGATTGGAGCTCTGCAGTTCGGACAGGAAGCACAGAAGTGATACGTGTCCTTCTCGGTGCGTCATATCAGGAGGCACGTGATACCTGTTTGTCCTGTGTACTGTGGGGTTAACTTTCATCACCTGCTTAAGGAAGTTTCTGCCAGCCTTCTCCACCCTTAAGTTACTATGTTTCCCTTTGTAATTAATCTTTTCTTGCCTTTATAAGGTTGCCAATTCAAGACCGCCTACGGCATGAAGGACATGGAACGTCATTTAAAAATTCACACTGGTAAGTAACATTTCTTCGGCTCGTCCGCCCGGGACATGTATTGTGTGCCAGGAGCCGGGGATCCAGATGAGTCAGACATGTGATAGGACACAGAACCTCCCTGGTCGTCACAGGAATACAAACACAAATTGAATAAAAATAAGATGCTATTTCCGCACATGGTTTTGGCAGAAAGTGTTTGAAGCAATAAAATCCAGTGCTGGAACAGATACGAGCAAGCTTAGCTAATGGAAATGTGAACTGCATTTTTGATGATTAATCAGCCAGAATTAATTAAAATTTAAATGTACATATTCTTCTCATTTTGAGATGATCCTATAAATGTGCGTACGTGTGTGCGTGCGTGCGTGTTTGCATAACGATTGATAGAGAGGGAAGGATAGTAAATATTTTTATGTTTACGTCATATCACTGGACACAGGGTGTACGTGTGCTATTTTTGCCATTTTGAAGGTGAACTTTAATTCATAAATACTTTTTTTAAAAAAAGAGGGAAAGAAAGATTGATGGGGCACCTAGCTGGCTCAGTCGGTGGAGCATGTGACTTGTGACTCTTGATCTTGAGGTCATGGGTTCGAGCCCCACATTGGTGTAGAGATTACTTTAAAAACAAAGCGGGGCGCCTGGGTGGCGCAGTTGGTTAAGCGTCCGACTTCAGCCGGGTCACGATCTCGCGGTCCGTGAGTTCGAGCCCCGCGTCGGGCTCTGGGCTGATGGCTCAGAGCCTGGAGCCTGTTTCTGATTCTGTGTCTCCCCCTCTCTCTGCCCCTCCCCTGTTCATGCTCTGTCTCTCTCTGTCCCAAAAATAAATAAACGTTGAAAAAAAAATTTTTAAAAACAAAGCAAAAGGAGAGGAAAAGAGCGATGCACGGAAAAAGAAAAACGTGATTATTTCTGGTGATTTTAATTTTCTTTAATATACATTTTTATGTCTCCCACATTTTCTGGATGGAGAAGGAACTGCATTTAGACTATTTTTAACAAAGTATCAGATACTCGTAATTCAAATGATACAGTATGAACACAGAAAGTGTCAATGTGTGTAAGACAGGGATACGCTGAAATGTAGCTGGGGCGTCACTAATTGCCCCAAGTCTGCCATTTAGCCTCAGCCTTTGGAAGATGAGATATCCAGCAATTATTTCTGAAATTTGTTGGCCACGGCCAACGATTGCCTTGTTGCAGTGGGGTCATCGTGATATTCTCCCCAACCTCATTTGGATTTATTCCAATTAGTGGAATGTTAAGCTATTAAGTCTCAAGAATGGGTAAGCCTTCTCGAGGTAACAAACAGTGGATCTCTCCGTGTGGGTTTGATGTGAACGTCATGAGTCAAGCATATTCATCATCGCCAGAGTGAAGTGCTGTCATCATTAATGATGATTGAGGAAGCACTATAAATACTTAAGTGAAGCAATGACCTTGAGTCTTCTGCAGGTCCGTAGGGAAAACCTGAGGCACGCGGTTAGCAAGCCTAGGTTTGTAGGATAGTTTCTAGGTGACTGCAACTTGTCCAATCGCATCTTCAAGTCGGAGAGTTGACGAGAAGGCGTCCTCACCTCAGGTACTTTCAGAGAGGAGGGCGTGGCCAGGAGCAGCGACAGCAGGCTGTTCTCTGGCCGGAAACCATCCTTCTTCCCCAGCTTCCGACACCTGCTCAGTGTGGCACATACGGAGGGTGGTGACCACAGGAGCTAATCAGCAGCTGACAACCATGAGAAATTACTGTTCATGGACTTTCAAATTTGATGGCTAGCACTTGCAATCACAAAATTATAATCTTTCATATCCTTTTTAAAAAATTTGTTTTAATGTTTATTTTTGAGAGAGAGAGAGAGAGAGAGAGAGAGACAGGGTGTGAGTAGGGGAGGGGCAGAGAGAGAGGGAGACTCAGAATCCGAAGCAGGCTCCTGGCTGTGAGCTGTTAGCACGGAGCCCAAACGTGGGGCTCGAACCCACGAACCGCGAGATCATGACCTGAGCCGAAGTCAGAGGCTTACCCGACTGAGCCACCCAGATACCCCGCTTTCATACCCTTTTAGATGTATTCTTAAACCCCAGATGTTTGCTGTAAGACAAGAGTGATCGGCTTTGGCCGATGATTGATTTTAACAGTTGGCTACTTAGAATTTGGCCAAAAGTCATATTTTTTTTTTTTAATTTTTTTTTTCAACGTTTATTTATTTTTGGGACAGAGAGAGACAGAGCATGAACGGGGGAGGGGCAGAGAGAGAGGGAGACACAGAATCGGAAACAGGCTCCAGGCTCTGAGCCATCAGCCCAGAGCCCGACGCAGGGCTCGAACTCACGGACCGCGAGATCGTGACCTGGCTGAAGTCGGATGCTTAACCGACTGCGCCACCCAGGCGCCCCCAAAAGTCATTATTTAATACATAAAGTAAAAGGGGGAGATCCTGACTTCACCACCTACTTCCTTATCTCATATAGACCCAAAGTCACCAGTCTTAATAGTCTCCTGTGTCTTATTCTTAAATGTTGGCATCCCTGGACTGGGGCTAAAAAGACACCAAATCTACTTTTCCCATCCTTTATGAAGTTGATATCATCCAAGCCATCACTGCAAACTGCAGTGGAAAACACCATTCAATAGTGGTCATCTGTCCATACAAGTAGACCTACCTCACTGGTTTCAGTGGCCAGGTAGGGAATTGGTTCAATAATTTACGCTCCATCCATACGGTGAACTACGCCAGCTTTCAAAATTGTGTTGTGGCCATTTACTGATGTGACGAGACGTTCGAAATTATTTCAGGTGCCAGGAAGTAGTCAGTGGGGAGGCACTATTGCATTTGGCTCAGAAAGCAAGACCGTCGTGGGTTCTAATCCCGGTTGCTGACAGGATTGAGAAAAGTCACTGAGAGGCCTGGTGCCTCGGAAACAGTATTCTAGTTGACGTCAGCCAAGAAGTTTTTTGTGCCTGATACGCACACAGACGCACGTAAATAGTTGCAGAGACCTCCATCGAAAAGTTAGCAGCTGTTCATGGGTGGTGAGTTGGCCTGTGCTTAGTGAGGACAGGTTAAGCTGCTGTCACAAAGAAACCCAAACAGAGGCTCGTACGCGGTGGGGGTTTGTGGGTCTCTCACATAACTGTCCGGAGGTAAGGCAGGTGGTCTAGGGCAGGCAGGCGGCTCTGTCCTACGAGATCATCCGAGGACCTCGCTTCCTTCTACACCGTTATGGTGCGTTGTGTCCCATGACACCATCCACACACCTGCTGCCCACACCTGCCGGTTCACCCCCCCCCCCCCCCCCCCCCCAGTCTTGGAAACGGCCGGCAGGAAGGGTGGAAAGCAAAAAGTAAAAGCAAGCAGTGTCCTTTTCCAAAAGGGATGCCTTTACCTCCTCTGCAACATCAGTGAGGGGGACTCTGCTGCCGAATCACGCCTCGCTGCGGGCGAGGCTGAGAAATGCAGCCTTGAGCTGCTTGGCCGGGAGCGCCCCCAAAACGTGAGCCTCCGCGTGCTAGGGCGTGTCCGTGAAGAAAAGGGAACAGGACGGAATGGAGCGAGACCTCCGCGAGAACAGCGTCTTGTTTTAGTGAGCTGTACTTTAACAACTTGAGTCGCCTTCTGTGCTTAACTAACAAGGAACTCTTTTCGATGTAGGAGAAATTAGAAAATGCCAGTCGGCAAACGCGAAGGAACTCCCCCTCTCCTGACGTGTTGGGCAGCTCTTTTGCACGTGTTCCGCATAGCTCTGGGGCTTTCCTGAATGTTCTTCGGTGATTGCGTATTCCTCTTCTCATAAGGCAGTGGGAAATAAGCCTGTTTCCTTTTCAGTATCGTTTTCTGATGCCATCTGTGTGTGTGTGTGTGTGTGTGTGTGTGTGTGTGTGTGTGTGTGTCTGAAGGAGACAAGCCCCACAAGTGTGAAGTCTGTGGCAAGTGCTTTAGCCGGAAGGATAAGCTGAAGACCCACATGCGCTGCCACACGGGCGTGAAGCCCTACAAGTGTAAGACGTGCGACTACGCTGCAGCCGACAGCAGCAGCCTCAACAAGCACCTGCGAATACACTCGGACGAGCGGCCCTTCAAATGCCAGATCTGCCCCTACGCCAGCCGCAACTCCAGCCAGCTCACCGTGCACCTGCGGTCCCACACAGGTAGGTCCCTCACGCTGCCTCTCACGCTGCACTCGTAACTGCCTGTTACCTGAGTCAGAAGCACCCCAGAGCCTCGAGTCACAAACGCAGTAAGCGACCCGGGGACGTGTGGTCATTGCACCGTGCGTGGGTTTGCTTTTCATCCACCCAGAAACACCTCTGCTTGGTCCAGCGGGGAAGAACATGGAGTTTATAACCTTGTGTATATCTTTATGTGGCTTTCTACCTTCTTCACTTCTAAGGTATTTGGTCGAGGAGGTGAGCTAAATGAAATAGAGATACAAATATAAACAATGCACTTTTCATCCATTTCTGCATCGCTTCCGTATTACTTCCATCCTTTTTGAAGTATGCTCAGATTCGCTCAGCATGGGCATGGGTTCTTGGAAGAACCCAGCAGAGTAGGTAACTTAACCAAGCGTGTGCGTTTTCCTTTGGGCGGGTGTATCAGTCAGCTATCGATACAATGATGCTGTGTAATAACCGCTGCAAAACCTCAGTGGCGTATTATAATAAGCGTTCGTTGCTTACGGACTTCAGGTCTAGCCGGTGGGCTGGACACTGTGTTGATCTCGGCAGGGCTCAGTCGCATGTGTGGGGAAAGGCTGGGTATCTGTCCACTGACCTTGGCTGGGGACCTGCTGCCTGTGGGTTAGCCGGCTGTACACTTACCTTAGCTGCGGCAGTCTGGCTCTGCTCCACATGCCTCTCATCCTCTTTCTGGGGCCAGTGGGCTACCCCAGGTTTGTCCTTCTCATGGCTGTGGCAGGGTACAAGCCGGCACCCCCCAGTGGGGAGGCCCCAGTCAAGCCTCTGCCTTCATCCCACTGGCTGAAGCAGGCTATATGGTTGGGCCTGGTGTCACAGATGGGACTGGGCTCACCCACGGTGGGAGGTCACCGCCAGGTTACACGGCAGAGGCCAGAGATAGGAGGAAGGGTAAAGAATCGGGGCCATTTTTGCAAACAACTGTAGTCCAGCTCGCCATCACTCACATCTCTGACGTGAAGATAGAGTCATACCTTCCCAAGACCCACATAAATCACACCCAGTCACAGGATCAAGATTAAAGGCCGGGATACTGTGATCTCCACCAGGTTTGGATATGGCTTCTCTTAACCTAGAGACCTTGGAAATGAAAAGACAAGCCGTGCGTTCCTACGTTCCCAATGTGCAGTGGTGACACAGAGCCAGAATAATTCCAGTAATCCTGCTGTTCAAAAGGGGAAGAATGGGAAGCCCTTGGTGGTCCCTGCTCCACAGATGTCCAAGATCCCTCTGGGCAAAGGTCCCCGGGTCCCATCACTCTGGGGCCAGGGAATGTTTCCTGGTTAGGCCTTCCTTGGCTCAGCTCCCTGGTTCCCGACCCTCCCCACCACAGCATCCTTCCTATCACCTGCCTGAGCCACTTCTGAAAAGCGGTGGAAAATGTTCTTTGAGGAACTTTCTCAGCCTGCTTCCTGCCCACCCAAAGGTACGGCTCTTTGACTCTAGGGTGGTGACAAGTTTCCTAGTAGAGCCATCAGCAAGACTTTGTGAGTTTCCTGTGTATCTTTGTGCCAAAAGCCACACCCACAATTCTCTCGGAGGCTCTCCTTTCTCCGAACCCAATTCTAGGCACTTTTGGCTTAAAACCTTCTGCTGTTGAATCCCTGGAGATTCCCAGGAATCGCGGCCAGCGGGAGAACGTACTTATGCCAACTTCGTTCTTTCGGAGGTCTTAACGAAGAGCCTTACTTTCCATCGACACCCCTCGTTTGTCATCCGGTCTTCCCCCTGAGATCACTTTCCTGGATCTGATCTTCAATCCCCGAGTTTCTGTCTTACTCTGAACACCTTTTACTGACTGGAGATGAGAAATCTTCTCTAACCCAGCCCATCTTTGGTTTTCTGTATTCTCTCTGAGTTCCATTTAGGAAATGGCCAGTTCTTTTTTGAGTTTGTCTCTTCCTTATCGGACCTTATGCTATGCAGCTTGTAAGACGCTTTCACGGTTCTGCCCAGAACTGATCTCTTTGCTCGAGTCCACAGTTCAGTAGGTGCATTCTCTGTCTTCTGAGTGGCTACAGGTGACAGTTTTACCAAATGTTTGCCGTTAAACAGTGTCCAACTGCCATGTCTCCGGTCTCTGCTTGCTACCCAGTCCCAAGGCCAATGCTACAGATTTTAGTTTTCTGTTAGGGCAGCATTTTGTTTCTAGATACCAATATCCGTCTCAGCTATCTGTCGTCACAGTAATGCGGCATTAACAAAACCTCGGCAGATGTGACAACACGCCATTTCTGTTCACGTGCTGGGGATCAGCTGGGTGTCACCTCAGCAACCCTGATCTTGGCTGGATTCACTTAACGTGTCTGAGAATCTGCTCGCTGCGGGCTGTCCGTCCACTGGTCTTGGTTGCCGGAATCCAGCACTGCTCCACATTTCTGTCATCCTCCTCCTGGGACCAGGGCTGAGCCAGCCTTGATCTTCCCACGGCGACGGCTGACGGAGGTACAAGCGAGCAAATCCCAACGCACAAGCGCATTTCGAGCCATTACGCGTATCAAGCCCAGTTAACCTACCCTCAGCCAAAATCTAATGACGTGGTGTCGAGGGTCACGGCAGGTCGTCCTGCCCCTGTCGAGAGACCATGCGTGATTCCACACGTGGCAAAGGTTGCAGCTACAGGGAGAGAGGAGAGGTGGCAAGATTTGGGACCGTTTTTGTAACCTGTTACAGCAGCTTAAGACATCGGCATAACTGGTGGTCAGTGGGTTTCTTCAGAATTCCCCCCAGCCTAAGTGAGAAGAGCCGAAGGATTCATATGTGAAAGGGTTCAGAATCATTTTCACTTAGAAAGATAAACTTACCGTTGATAGTAGCATCTTCAGATTGGTGTAGAAAAGGTGAAGTCTCCAAGAATTTAAACGTGTGCCGTGTACGCAAGGTCTCCCTAGAAGGTTCATTTCCCTTTTATAAATCTGCGGCACTTACGAGATTTTACAGAGTGTAAGATTAATAGGATTTGGTTTTTACCCTGTCATCACTTAGATTGGCTCCATCATCAGTGGCTGGAGCAGCAACGTAAACTTGAGAAAAGATCTGTCGGCTAAGATCAGTTGCTCATTCATTCAGCAACATTCATGAAGTCCCTGCTAGCTCCTAGACACCGCGAGGGTCCCATAGTGGGCAGAAATAAATGTAGTCATTAGCTTTGGAGAGCGTATGGCCCCGTGCATCTATTACTAACCAGGATGCCTCACTTAAGAAATCTGTGGTTAAAGAAAAAAAAAAAAGGAAGAAAGATGACAAAGGGATTTAGGACCTTTGCCTTCATATCAACAAGTGCTGTTAAACTCTGCGACTCAGCTGTGAGATTTGGTTATCCGGAGTTTCTGGATTTCACCCCGCGCTGATGGCTTTTAAAAAAAAAAAAAAAAGGCAAAAAGACTGTCAGTCATTAGGGCAGGGATACGACTGGAAAACCTAGGAGTCTTTTCTGAAGTAGAGAGTCTTACTCTGGGTCCACAGATGCCTCCACTCGGTGATGCATGAGTAGAATTTCGGTGGTCCGTGAACTTGGATGGGGGAAAAAAGTCCACCTTCCCTGTCACTAACTGGACTGAAATTTGCCGTGTCCTTCAATTACGAAAAAGGGAACTGGTGTGAGAATAGTGCCTGTGACTTGTCACCAGGAGAGATCACAGATCTTTTCAGGACGCTTGTTGTAGATAGATCGAAATATCACTTCCGCTCTTCTCTGTTTAGAAATTATTATAGTTCTAGACCCGCCGCTACATCTTACTTAATGCATTAATAAAGCACAGGCCCAGGGGCACCCGGCTGACTCCGTCGGTGGAGCGTGCGACCCTCGATCTTGGGGTCATGAGTTCGAGCCCCATGTTGGGTGTAGAGATCACTTTAAAAAAAAGATTTTAATAAAGCACGCGACATTGCCATAGCGTGAATTTTTCCTTTTCATTTCTTAAGTAACTATTTCAAAATACTTGGTTTCTTTTGGATTCCTGTTGATTTTTATTTTAGTTTACTTTGTGTATTTAAGCAGTGTCCTAAGAAAGGGTCCGGGGGTTTTCACTCACCTGCCAGGGAAGAGTTGATAGCATCAGAGAGGTTCAGCATAAAATGCCGAGGCAGGAGTCAGCAAGCTTTCCGTAAAAGGCCATACAGTTGCTGAAACTGTATCAGCACCATTGCTGTTGCAATCGCTCAGCTCTGCCTTTGGAGCATAAAGCAGCCAGAAGCAACAGACGCACAACTGTGCGTGGCTAGATTCCAATAAAACTTTATTTATAAAAACAGGCCATGGGCTGGCTTTGGCCCACAGGCTGTAGCTTACCACTCCTGGTTCTAGAGCTTAGCGTGCACGATCTTGGGGGCGTGTCGTCCTACAAAGCATCGTTGAGGCTCGAGCCTCTCGGTTTTATAGAAGCTTCTTAAATTTGCCCCCGGCCATCTTCACTCATTTGTATGTATGAATAAGCCGCTTATGGTGACGTTTTAGGCCTTATACCAAAAAGCCGGAACACGATTCCTTCTCTGAGTTTATGGCCTGAGAAAGCGCACATCAGTCCTATGCACAGATCATTGCCCGGCATCTAAGAATACCAGCCTTGGAGGCAGCCTGGGTTCGAATCCAGGCCCTGCTACGTACTACTGGGCCCTGCTACGAACGAGTTACATAGTCTGCCTAGGCCTCATCCGTACGGTAGTGTTAGGAATGATAGTGGTAATAGTCCCCACCTCACGGGAATGTTGGGAGCATCAAACGAGACCATTCTTGTGGAGTGCTCAGCAGAGGGCCTGCCATCCTGGAAGCAACGGAAGAATGTCAGCTGCTACTTTGCTTGCTTAACCCGTAAAATGGCCAGGGGTCACCCATTCGCGTGAGTTATCAGTGCCTTAGATGATTTGGACGTGCCATTCATTGAGGAAATACATTTGGAATATCACGTGCACTCAGATGTTTGCAATTTCACTTTCCCCTGCTCATCTTTCCGCGAACATGAATTCAAAACAAAACAAAACAAAACAAAACAAAACAAAAATCGAGCAGCTGGATTCCGTAACTTCACAAGCAAAGAACGCAGCTGGCAATGTGGGATAAATAAATTTTGCGCGATAAACACGTCTTTGTTAATAAAACTCTGCATGAAGTGTAAGCTGGGCGTTTCGATCACTTTGTAAAAGACTATTCTAATGAGTGAGTGTGGAGCTGATTCCAAAATGTGGCCTCGAACCCGTTACGCCACGTAACTCAATCGAAATCCACGGATTGTGCAAAGTTTCCGCAACTGAGAACCATTAACTAGCAGAGTGGGCACCTGAGCAAAATGAACGCTAGCTTGATTGCTTTAAAGAACAGAAGTTATATTCACAAATACTCTCTTATTCGGGACAGTTGAATAGCTCTTTTCAATCTCCCGTTTTTCCCGTGGGGTTTGTCACGGTCCTGGTGGTTCAGGTTTGGGGAAAGAAAAGAAGCCCCCGTCCCCCCCATCCCCCCCCACTTTTTTTTTTCTCCCAGGGTCAGAAACTAGCAGCTGCGGTTAGAAGGTCTCCACCCGCCCGCCTTGGTATAAGCGATTTTCTGGTGTGTGCTTCGGGGGGATCCGCTGTGGTTGTTGCCTGCCTGTTCTTATCGAAACTCACCTTGTGTTGACAGGGGACGCCCCCTTCCAGTGCTGGCTCTGTAGCGCCAAGTTCAAAATCAGCTCGGACTTGAAAAGGCACATGCGCGTGCACTCGGGGGAGAAGCCTTTCAAGTGCGAGTTCTGCAATGTCCGCTGCACCATGAAGGGCAACCTCAAGTCGCACATCCGCATCAAGCACAGCGGGAATAACTTCAAGTGTCCGCATTGCGACTTCCTGGGTGACAGCAAGGCCACCCTCCGCAAGCACAGCCGGGTGCACCAGTCGGAGCATCCCGAGAAGTGCTCGGAGTGCAGCTACTCGTGCCCCAGCAAGGCGGCGCTGCGCGTCCACGAGCGCATCCACTGCACCGACCGGCCCTTCAAGTGTCAATACTGCAGCTTCGACAGCAAGCAGCCCAGCAACCTGAGCAAGCACGTGAAGAAATTCCACGCGGACGTGGTCAAGACCGAGGCCTTGGAGAGGAAGGACTCGGGCCGGCAGAGCAGCCGGCAGGTGGCCAAGCTGGACGCCAAGAAGACTTTCCACTGCGACATGTGCGAAGCGTCGTTCATGCGCGAGGACTCGCTCCGCAGCCACAAGAGGCAGCACAGTGAGTACCACGAGAACAAGAACTCGGAAGTGACCGTCCTGCAGTTCCAGATAGACCCCAGCAAGCAGCCGGCCGCGCCCCTCACCGTGGGCCACCTGCAGGTGCCCCTGCAGCCCAGCCAAGTGCCCCCGTTCAGCGAGGGGCGACTCAAAATCATCGTTGGTCATCAAGTGCCGCAGGCCAACACCATCATCCAGGCCGCGGCCGCCGCGGTGAACATCGTGCCCCCCGCCTTGGCGGCGCAGAACCCGGAGGAGCTCCCGGGGAACAGCCGGCTGCAGATTTTGCGCCAGGTCAATCTGATCGCCCCCCCCCGGGCCTCGGGGTGTCCGAGCGAGGCGGGCGCCATGACCCAGCCGGCTGTGCTGCTCACCGCTCACGACCAGGCCGACGGAGCCACTCTGCACCAGACTCTCATCCCCGCGACCCCAGGCGGCCCCCAGGAAGGCTCCGGCAACCAGACTTTCATCACCAGTTCGGGGATTACATGCACTGACTTTGAAGGCCTTAACGCTTTGATTCAGGAGGGGACCACCGAAGTGACCGTGGTAAGCGACGGAGGTCAGAACATCGCCGTGGCCACCACGGCCCCGCCTATATTCTCCTCCTCTTCCCAGCAAGAATTACCCAAGCAGACTTACTCCATCATTCAGGGGGGAGCCCACCCAGCCTTGCTCTGTCCGGCGGACTCCATACCAGATTAGAACTGAAAAACCAAAAGAAAGGGGAAAAGAGGACTGACAAAACAGGAAGTCGTAAATAGAATTCTGTGAGAGGTTTGCTCTTAATGTTTTTAAGGATTGTTGTGAAACCCCTCCCCTCGTAATAAATTGTAATTTTATACTGCTTAACTATAATTTTTTAATGCTGTAATAATAACTTTGAGGTCACCTCTGAATCGCCGTGTTATTTAGCTGTTGTAGGATTCTTAAATGTTCCCAAGATGATTCCAGTTAGGGGTTGGAATTAAATGCAGTGAGTCGTGAGTCCATTTGTTTTGTCCAGCTTGATTTCCCAGTTCTGAGAAGGGTTTTTTCCAATCTCACTAAATTTGTGTACGAGATGGGACTTCCCGACCTCTCTTAAGTTACGGTTCTGAAATTCTCCTTCGAGTTTGGGCTATTAGTGTTTTAGTACATGGATACCAATCTATTGGCGTGAGGACCATTTTCTACATAATGTTACACGGATACTGGACCCCCCCCC